TTTAGAATAATGGTCCGTTAACAAGTAACTATGCAGGAAGTAATAGGTAGTACTACATTAACACATAACTTAATACTATTAACTAATAGAGAAGCACGATTAACTAAGCAGTAAATAGTAGCAAATTTAGGACAAAGCTAGTTCCTTATAAGATATTTGATAATCACTAAAAAAATATATCCTCATTGAGAACTACTTGGGAACTATGACCAATTAATAAAGAATAACCAATTAATTACTAATCACAACAGTAACGTTTTAAAAGTGAACAATACTGACTCTAGTTTGTGTCAGTTCAGTATATCTCTGACTCCAAAAGACCTCTACCTTTAGTGACAGCAGGCTGGGGAGGACTTTTCACAAATAATTCATTTAAAAATTTTAATAATTAGGAAGTGATTGAATTAGTTCACATGAGCTCTAGTTTGTGTCAGTTCAGTATGTCTGTACCTTTAGTGACAGTAGGCTGGGGAGGACTTTTCTTGAATATAAATAATGATGTTCTCTTGACAAAAACAATTCACATCCTTAATGACGGCATCGACTGCATAAAACCGCATATTCCAGATTACAGAGTCTGCTAAAATATCACTAGTGCCTTACACAAATGTATGTGTCAGATATAAAATGTTAAATAACTTATTAAATTACTTAGTAATTGCTGAGTGGTTAAGGTGTTTTTCACTTTAAAGCTAAAGTGCTACTAAGGAACTACTAGTGATCTGGACCATTATTTTAAAGTGAAAAACACATTAACTCCTCAGTAAGTACTCGCAAGTAAATTTAATAAGTTATTTAACATATTTTATATCTTACATACTGTACAGTCATACATCTGTGTGAAGCACTAGTGATATTTTACCAGTAGGTATTTTGGAGTGGGATACATTGATACTGAGCTGACACGAAGCAGAGATCATAATTGTGAACTAATTCAATCATGAGCTTGTCAGCATCACTTCTTAATAGTTAACATTTTTAAGTGAATTTTCATTTTTATTATTATTCTATGTTTAAGTTTGAACATCCATCCTTTGGTAAGAGTAGTAGTCACAATTTCAACCTGTAGCCGACTTATTTGGGGGATATCAAATTCATAAATTAGTTACCACAATGAACCCAAGTGTTCACTTTTAAGACCTTACTGTTGTGATTAGTAATTAATTGGTTATTCTTTATTAACTGGTCATAGTTCAAAAGTAGTTCTCAATGAGGATATTTTTATTTAATAATGATCAAATATCTAATAAGGAACTAGCTTTGTCCTAAATTTGCTACTACTTACTGCTTAGTTAATCTCGCTTCTCTATTAGTTAATAGTATTCAGTTAAGTGTTAATGTAGTACTTCCTATTACTTCCTGCATAGTTACTTATTAACAACGGCCCATTATTCTAGAGTGTTACCCCTTTATTTTTAAGATTGTAGTGAATGAGACCAATTGTTCTTTTGTGATTTGTATATTTAACTCTTTTATCCAGTGATCCAGTACTCTGCAAAGGTCACGGAAAGGTTGCGGAAGCGGTGTTTGCTCGTCACCTCCAAATGCACCAGAACACACTCTTACCGCGGTGAAATGAGGTAAAGCTCAGATCTCGGTATTCCTTAGAACATCAGCAGATAAAAAGCCTGCGTGTCTCCTTCTGCTTTTAGTTGAAGGTGTGAGTTTGTTTAGAAAGTTTGAGAGATTGTCTCTGTGGCTTTGTGCTCCTTAAAACACTTCCAAACTTTTCACGTACAAGAATAAATTAAAGTAATGATGGTTTTATCACTTCTATCTGAAATAAAACAAAGATAACACAGTGTATTATATATATATATATATATATATATATATATATGAGACAGAGTGACCCCATAAGTTTCCCTTTTCAATATAAGTCCAATATAACGTTAACGCCGTCCCTTAAAACTGCCATGTCACTCATGCTTATCACGTCAGTCACATCACATTAGAGACCTGCTTTTTAGGTTTTGTGCGAGAGCAAAGGAAATCCGCGTGGTTTATATTAATGTGCTTTCACGCTACAATTATGTGCTCTTGACATTTGTCACTAAAATAATACCCTCCCGCCCGTGACATTCATGTGTTGTCCTGCCTAGCTTGCGTGTGTTAATCATTGTATAGTTATTAGTTTTTGCTTTTGTGCAACACATAAATACCAATTTATATGGTTTAGACCTTTTGTTTAGATCATTTCTATTTTGCTGGAGTCCCGCAGATCATTTTGTTCTCCCGCATCCCGCACACACGAGTCTCGCGCTGCACCCTGTTGCATTGGGTCCCGCGGGAGTGCAGGTCTCTACATCACATTTCCTAAGTCAGCATAGTTTGTCAGTACAGTCAGTAGTGTAGCAGATTGAAAAGTTAGTATCTTTCTGCAGTCTAATAGACGGCAGTGGGGTGGTGGCTTGAGTCTGTTGAATGGCGATTTAATGCTACGTTGCTACTTTTTTTTTTTTTTTACTCTCACAATGAGCTTATCATACTCGTTTGCTACATAAGGCCCTATGATTTCCCCTGTGCCAGACAACTAATGAGCTACACTAGGGAAGAGAGAGCGATAGAGAGTGTGTGTGTTTGGTCTTCAGTCTGCTCGGCGTAAAGGCGAATCCCAGGAGAATGATACTTATGAGTACTATACTATATAGTAGCAGTGTGTAAACATCTAAAATGTAAACATTGTAAATTTACACAACTTCAAGATGCAAAGTGTAAAATATAATTTCATAACTTGTCCATATATTGATGTTGTACTGTATGTATAACTTGTAAAATGTACACGTATTACAATTTAAAATAACTGTTTTCTATGTGAATAGGCTGTATTGTAAAATGTAATTTATTTCTGTGATGCAAAGCTGAATTTCATCAGTCATTCCAGTCTTCAGTGTCACATGATCCTTCAGAAATCATTCTAATATGCTGATTTGCTGCTCGGGTAACGTTATCAATGTTGAAAACGGTTGTGCTGCTTCATCATTTTTGTGTGAACTGTGATGCATTTTATTTGTCAGGATTCACAGATGAATAGAAAGTTCAAAAGAACAACCATATTTATTTGTCACTTTTGATCAATTGAATGCATCCTTGCTGAATAAAAGTATTGATTTCTTCTGTACCAGGGTTTTTGTTTTATAAGCTTGAAGTTGATGTTGCACATGTGTGCACATCAATGTTGATTAAAACACACAATACTGCATGTACAGTGGTTTTCAATGGCTTCCAGTGTCATGTTTTACTGCTGTCTCGGGTGTTTTTTCTCCATCTTTTCACAGAGATTGTTGTGGTATCAATTTTCTCATGCCTAAATGCTGAATAAAAGTTGTGACTGGTCACTGCGTATCAATCAGATGGTCTGTTCCTAAGTGAGCGGTTGTGGATCAGAATGATCTGCCAGTCGGTTTGACTTCTTGCTGATAGTCAGAAGTCGTCTAAAGACAGCGAGTATTCAGAGAGACGTATGGATGATTGCATCCAGCAGCCGGTGACTGTCACTCTCGTCTGTGAATGTAAAGAGCAGTGCACTCCACACCACACGATTGAACACATCATCCGCTAAGTGCTCATGTGATTGTTACTTCATCTAGATGGTTTGTAGAGAGGAGGAGGGGTTTCCTGGACGACATGATTAAAGCAACTGTGCAAAATCTTGTAACTGAGTGAACACTAGAAGGAAATATCTTAAGATATATATGTATGTGTATATATATGTATATACAGTGGGTACGGAAAGTATTCAGACCCCCTTAAATTGTTCACTCTGTTATATTGCAGCCATTTGTTAAAATCATTTAAGTTCATTTTTTTCCTCAATGTACACACAGCACCCCATATTGACAGAAAAACACAGAATTGTTGACATTTTTGCAGATTTATTAAAAAAGAAAAACTTAAATATCACATGGTCCTAAGTATTCAGACCCTTTGCTGTGACACTCATATATTTAACTCAGGTGCTGTCCATTACATGAAAGCCTGCATGGAGTTTGCTAAAAAACACCTGAAGGACTCCAAGATGGTGAGAAATAAGATTCTCTGGTCGGATGAGGCCAAGATAGAACTTTTTGGCCTTAATTCTAAGCGGTATGTGTGGAGAAAACCAGGTACTGCTCATCACCTGTCCAATACAGTCCCAACATTGAAGCATGGTGGTGGCAGCATCATGCTGTGGGGTGTTTTTCAGCTGCAGGGACAGGACGACTGGTTGCAATTGAGGGAAAGATGAATGCGGCCAAGTACAGGGGTATCCTGGACGAAAACCTTCTCCAGAGTGCTCAGGACCTCAGCCTGGGCCGAAGGTTTACCTTCCAACAAGACAATGACCCTAAGCACACAGCTAAAATAACGAAGGAGTGGCTTCACAACAACTCTGTGACTGTTCTTGAATGGCCCAGCCAGAGCCCTGACTTAATTTTTTATTGACTTTTTTTTTTAAGCATTTATAGCTGTGCATTTATTATTTGTAAGAATGTTTTCAGGATTTATAACTGGATTTATAAGGATTTAAACCTGTATATTTAGGATTTGTATAACTTTTTCAGGATTTGTAGTGGTTTTTAGTATTTGATATGACCATTTCTTTTCAGAATTAATAGCTATATAGTTGTTTTTTAACAATTTTTTTCAGCATATACAGTTGTATAACAATGTTCACATTTTGAGCATTTATTCAAGATTTTTCATTACACATTTCAGCCACACTCATTTATATATTTTAGATTTATAAATATATATTCTTATAACTACATGTTCAGTGCTTTCAATATACTGTATATATATATATATATATATATTTTTTTTTTTTCAATATTTAAAAATTTTCAATAAAAAAAATCAGCTATAATAATATAATTCCTCTCGTGTGCACACAGTTGTATGCAAGCGCTGTGTGAATCCTGTGTAATGTATAGAGTGTGTGTGACGATCAGAGCTGCTGTATTCTCCTCCCATTCTCTCTCTTTCTCGCTCCATCACTCACGCTGGCGTTTCTTTTGTGTAGCTGGCGGATCGTAGCTGGAGTCGTGTGTGCCGATCGCTCCGGATCCTGGACGTCTGTGAGTATACAGTATTCACGTCTGTCTGTAGAGATGAACAGCTAGAGAGTTTCTGTCCAGTACTGTTCTTAATCTGCATCAGTGCTTCTGTTCTGTTCAGTTTGATTCTGTTCTGCATTGTTTATATTTCTATTACTGATGCTTTGGCATTATAGTATGCAAATCGTGCCAGTAAAGTGCTTTGAATGGAAAGATAATGAATGATGCTGATGTTTAGGAGAGCATTTACAGTGAGGAGGTGTGTGTGTGTGTGTGTGTTATGGCCATTAGTTGGACTCTTCAAAGTTCAGTAGTCTCTTTCTGGACGACACTTACTGCTGTTTGTTTGTTTGCTTTTGTTGTTTCAGACAGACACGTAATGAGGCTTTTCTGTCTGACTCACATAATGAGTTTGATTGACAGAATTGATGCTCATGTCTTTGATTAGTGGTGCTCGTTACGTCCAGCATCACTAGTGCTATTGCACATGCGAGTGTTGGTGATTTGAACAAACCTCTAAAGCAAACTTAAGCTTTAAATGTCCGTGTGTAACTCATCCTGCAGCTGCACTTGTTGAGAATGAATGTGTTTTCACTTTACTAAACGGTTTAACCATCTGAAGTCATGCTCAGTGCTCAGTTTGATGGTCTTTTAGAGGATTTTAACCCTGTAAATGCAACTAATGAATATCGTGTTGACTTGATAATTAGTGAAATGTTGCTGATCTGTGCTCATTTATTTAATTTCAGTTTCGGTTTCATTTTGGATATCTCATCTGGACCTCGTGTTTTTTAATGTTTTTATTTCTGGTATACATATGTATTGCATGAAATGTATTTATTATTTTTTTTGTGTGTGGCTAAATTAGATGTTTTAGGTCAAGGACATTCAAATTAAATTATTTTCATTTTTCATTTTTTTTAAAGGGTGAAACTCCCTGAACCTTTAAAACAAATCATTTTCTTATTATATTTAAAGATATAATTAAAATACAAAAACAGTAAATTGTTTTGCATATAGCCTACTTTAGAATAAAGATTATTTTTTTTGTATTTTTAAGCACATTTAACCCCCCTGCAAATTGTTTGTAATGCAAAAATCTAATTCTTATTACTATAATGGACAAAATATTTAATTTATAAAGAATTTATACACAATAGTTATTTTATTTTATTATTATTGTTTTTTTTTTCTTTTCTTCTTATTTTGTTGTTTTACATTTTTCTTATTTTATTTTAATATTTTAATGGACAAATGTTGTTTAAATTACAGAATTTATACACAATCTTTATTTTATTGTTATGTGACGCTGCCTGTGAAAACCCAGCTAAAGTCATTTTTTTTGTGATTTACTGTTTTTTACATAAAACCATCCTTCATTCAGATGTAGAACATTCTGTGAAAATACAACCTTTTATATCTTTAATATTGACTGAGTAAGGCCATGCCAAAGATTGTCGTACTGAAAAATCATAGTGAAATTAATGGTTGAAATCAAACTTTGATGCTTGTCATCTCATAATTAGATTGAGACTTTAGCCTGGATTTCACAGACAGTGTCACATTTTTATTTTATTTTGTTTTTATTTTATTTTAATGAAAAAATTATAATTATACAGAATTAATTTAATTTGTAATTTAATTAAATTTAAGGAAAAAAAATAATTATACCGAATTTATACTATTAATTAAATCATTCTGTGAAAATATAAGCTTTGTATCTTTAATATTGACTGGGTAAGGCCATGTCAAAGATTGAAATCATAGTGAAATTAATGGTTGAAATCAAACTTTGATGCTTGTCATCTCATAATTAGATTGAGACTTTAGCCTGGATTTCACAGACAGTGTCACATTTTTATTTTATTTTGTTTTTATTTTATTTTAATGAAAAAATTATAATTATACAGAATTAATTTAATTTGTAATTTAATTAAATTTAAGGAAAAAAAATAATTATACCGAATTTATACTATTAATTAAATTTAAATTAAA